CCAGGAAATTTAGACTGCCTCAGGCTACGGACATCAGTGTGATCTGATTGTACTTGCAGGAGAAGGCACATTAAAATGAGCAGTTACATGAAATCAAAACAAACTTGGAAGAGTTAAAGGATTTCTCTTTTCAGACAACTTTCTGAGGAAGGTAAGGCAGAGCTGTGAGCAGCACTCAGCAATGTTTCCAATCTCAGTTCTTAGTAAACCCCCTTTGTGAGTGCTCCAGAAAGTGAACTAAAGCCCTGAGGACATTAATTTCCTTACAGGTCTAGGCTCTAATTAAAAGTTTATGAAGAAGTAAACAAAAGAGAGTCCATGGGGCTGTATCAGGACTGTCCTTTGAACATGAGGGAAAGGCGATTTCCTGAGTGGCACCATCCCTGCAGTGCTGGGAATCCCCACTGGACACAGCCCCAGCTGGGGCTCAGAGTTCCCCTGGAGGAATGGCCCAGGAGATGGCTTTGAGGCCCAAGGTTTGGGCTTGCAGCCACACTTTTGTACTCCCTGATCTGCCTTTGTGGAGAGAATCTAGAGCTCCCGGGTTTTAATCCTGAGTATTTTGGCTGTGAACAAGGGTAGGTTTTGGAAGCCTTTGGAAGCCCAGTTTGACAATTTCTGCACTAGTCTGTGTGGCTACCAGGGAAATTTTGCTTGAGCAAACCACAAGAGGTGCTGGGGAAGGAGGAAAAGCAAAGCCAGGGCTCCTCACTCTGCACAGACACCCCTCCCTGTCCCAGGAAAAGGGGAATCACACAAAGCTGTCTGCCTGTGCCAGGTTCCATCTGTAAAAACCCAGCTCTGAGCAGTGACTTGAAGCTTGCGCTGGTTTCTTCTGACTCGGTCACTTTGACTGTGTTTTCAATAAGACTCCAGCTTCCAGAGTTTGTTTTCTGTCAGTCAGACCTGGGAAGGCTCTGATATCAGATGGGAACAAAGAATGCAGGGGAAATTAGGGTAAGAAGATTGTATCTGCTATTTATTTCAGAATTCAAAAATTATCCCTGGGCATCTTTAGAGAACTGGAGCTGCTAGAGATCTTGTCTGGTACTAAGTCTGAATTGGAGAAAGGTTTGGTAGTCACTGTGAAAATTAGCCAATTTTTAATTGAGAGTCCTTTAACTCAATTCATTTCCTTCAGTTCTCAAGGCTGATTTTGACAAAAGCATTGCAAGAAAACAAATAGTGTAAAAAATGGTTTGGGGTTAATTACTTAGGGACTTCTAAAACCCCAAGTATTTTAGTGTATTAGGAAAGCACCAGATAACCTGGATGCCTTGGTGTGAACTCTGCAATATCTTGTACTCAAATCTGGCTTTTACTTAAGTACAAAAGTGGTTAAGTGTTGACTGTATTGTTCTTCCATGTGTAACCAAAATATTTTTTGTCCTGGTGGTGGCAGTGCTGGGTGAAAAATTCAGACTGAAAAGCAAGATCAGGAAAAACTTTCTAATTTATTTCGTAATTGTAACTGACCTCTCCATTAAATGGACACATTTTGTGTCCAATATGGGGATCAGTTTTTCATAACACACATTGGGGAGATGCTACAAAATAAGAAATAAAAATAAGTTCAGAACAAATGCATTTCTTCCAGAAACTCCGTTCTTTAGGCCTTTTGCCTGCAATAGCGTTCATATTCTACTTGATTTTCACCATATTGTGTAAAGAGAACTTAGTAACTTGTTTTTGTCAATGTCATTTGCACAGTTTTAAGCTTTTTGAAGTGTTGAGAAATAGGTCACTTCCCCTGAATTCAGCAGTCAGTTTTCATGTTTAGTGGAGCTGAAGGTTAGGAAAAGTTTCAAAGCCTCTTTTGTTTTTCTTTTTTAAGCCATTATTCAACCTTGAAATGAAAACTCACTCACTAAACTATGCTAAATAGCTCATTTCCCTCGTTTGCTGATGGAGCTAAATGGCCTTTTGGAGATATTTATGGAGATGACTTACCTTTTTCTTATGCACAACAGTCGCACTTTCTCATCCGTGTAATGGAAACAAGAGAGACTCAGGCTGAGGACTTTGCCTCTCTGAAATGGTTTAGCCGTTTTCCCAATAAATTTACACTTTCAATACAAGACTTCTACATTTTAGAATGAATAATGAGATAAACTTTTTTTTTTTTTTCTCCTAAGAATTTGACTATGAAAATCTTGAGCTTCCTTGGGAAACTTTGTATTCCTGCGAGCAGGAGAGTGTCAGCTGTGCCGGATGTGTCAGGGTGGGGGTGAGGAGAGGCTCGGATTCCATGGGATTCCGTGTGCCCACTGGGCTGGAGGGCAGGATTAGAGAGGAGCCTGCTGGGCCGTGCTGAGGCTGCTGTTTCTGAAAGCCCTGTTAACAGGAACTCCCCGAGATGGACAGATGGGGAGTTCTGCACAGAGAGAACTCGGTGATGTGCACCTTACTCAGCCCTTCCCATCCCTGGAGGAGCCGGGAAGCTGGAGGGGACGGGACACAAATGGCATTGTGGCTGAGCTCCTGCCGAGCACAGGGACGGGGAATGGCCGGCAGTGCATCCTGCACACCTGGTGCTTCCCTGCTGTTTCCCTGGTGCTCCCCAGGTGTTCCCCAGGTGCTCCCCTTGTTGTCTCCTGCAGTTCTCCTGCAGTTTTCCTGCTGTTTCCCTGATGTTCTCCTGCTGTTCCCCTGGTTGTCTCCTGGTTGTCCCCTGGTTGTCCCCTGCTGCTCCCCTGGGCTGCGGCCGCGGGGCAGCAGGGGGCGCTCCCGCACCGCCTGCGCGCCCGGCGGGGACGGGAACGGGGAGAGGGAAAAAGGGATCGGGATGGGGAAGGAATAGGGACGAGGAAAGGAGCGGGAATTGGAATGGGAATGGGGAAGAGAATGAGAGTGGGAAGATGGAAAGGGATACGGATGGGAACGGAGAGGGGTACAGGGATGGGGATGGGAATGAGGATAGGAACAGGGAGTGGATGCAGAAGGGAATGGGGAGGGTGATGGGAATGGAAAGGAGGAAGGGCATGGGAATAGGGATGGAGCCGGGATGCACCACAAAGGGCCTTTCCAGCCTCTGCCTTAGATCCCGTTAAAGCACCTGCAAACGAGCCAGGTGTTGGGAAGGAAACCCGGCAAGCCCTGCAAAATCAGGGCTGTGTGCTCCTGGTGTTCCCATCTCTGTGACTTTTATCCAAGGCCACAGCTTGGCCATCTCCCTCTCTCACAGAGATAAGCTAAATGTATCACTTACCAAAAGTTTAACATCTAGATAAGGTGTTCTATTCCTATAAAAATTTCTATTCCTATAGAAAATGAGTAGGGAAAATGGTTTTTCCATTCCTTTTTTTAAACTTTTTTTTCCCCTTGCAGAAAATAGCTGCCTAATTCTGCCCCATGCACAAACATAATTTTAGTCATGAACAAAGCATTTGGAAACCTTCCTTTAGTTTTGAGACAATGCCTTAACCATTTGCACATAATAATTTCTCTAAATCTGGAAACATTTCCAATACCATGCCAAACTTTGGCTTATTCTGTTCAAAGGTACTATTCAGCAATAAGGCTTTAATTGGACTTTATTTACCAATTCAAATACAGAGTGGGCAAACAAAACAAAGTCCATTTGGACTTTGAAGGGTGAAGGATGAAATTGTAGGGTGTTTTAAGGCATTGCAAAATATGTGTTAATCTTTTACATACAAATGCAAAAACAGTGGCTTGCTGTTTCCAGAAGTCCTTTGGAAAATGGTTTACTGGCACTTAGACCAAAAAGGAAGTTTACATCTGACATGTATATAATGTGTTTAAATTATAATGTTTCTTCAGCTGTGGGAGGATAGAAAATTCTTTTTCTGAAATCTTTGTGATTTTGCTGGCTTTAGCAGCACTTGTAAACACTAAGGTGGCAAAGCTTGTGGCTGCCTTTTGGGAATGTGCATCTTTTCCTTACACCTAAATCTGCCTCTCTCTGTCTTCATAGCTGTGTTAACAAGGAAAAACAAAAACAAAGGAAGATTTCTTGAAGAAAACTAATAAAAAGTAGCCTTGAGCAAAAATCTGGAGGAAGAAATCTTCCTTGGAGGCTTGGGGTGGATTTGGCAGGAGCGGCTCAGAGTCGCAGATGGGAATTATCCAGCAGAACCTTCCTCGCAGTCCTCAGGAAATCGAACCAGCCTGACAAATGTCTGGCTGCACAGCCCAGAACGACACTCAGGAATGTTCTACCAACATCTGCTGCTGCTTCTGTGGCTGTGACAGGAGGCAGGGAAACAGAACGTGTGCCAGGGAGCCAGCGAATCTGACTGGGAGCTCCCTCGCGTACGCAGGGCAAGAGGAGGGAAGGAAGTCCAAGATGGAAACCAAGTTCTAAAATCCAACTTAAAAATGCAAATGATGACTAAAAATGTCCAAAGTGTCCTTTCTCAGCTCATGCTGTGGCTGGGCAGGAGGTCACTTAGCCCAGGAATGCTCCTTTTTCAGAACCACTGGCCACTCGGGGAGGAGCAGAGGCTGAGTTTACAGGCTGACATTGCAGTTGGTGACAAGAGTGAACTCCAGGTATCAGAGACTTCCCAGCCATCTGAATGAACCAGAGACAAAGCCTAACACCAAACACAGCCATGAAATGTACTTCTGAGCAAAAAAAATTAATAATTAAAGGCATCTTTTCATTATTTGAAGGGAAAAATACACAAAATATAAATTCTTTAGCCATGCAATCTACTTCTGAGGAAAAAAATTAATAATTAAAGGCATCTTTTCATTATTTGAAGGGAAAAATATACAAAATATAAATTCTTCCTAATGAGTAAATGAGTAATTTTGATCAAGGAAGTACAGACTGCATCTTTTAAAGGTAAGAAAAATGCTTTGAAGACATAATGTCAGTAAAAGAATATCTTTGGGAATCTTTTCAGGCTGCCATCATGTTTACACACCACTTGGCAGATTGTCACTTCCTTCTATTTATTTTCAGCTCCATCCTCTCCCATGTGTGGAATAATTGTTGACTCCAATTTGAAGAACACGCCTGTGCTGCACGCTCAGCTCAGCCATGGAGATGCCATCCCTTGCATACCAAGCTCAGCACTGTTTATGCTCTGGCTTTTAATGAGAACAATTATGGGTGAAAGCATTTTGCTGATGATGAAGTGGTAAGAGTGAGCATTTGGGATATTTGGTTCCAGCTCTGCCTCTTTTTAATTTAGGTTTCACGCCTGTCACGGAGGAGCTGAAGGAACAGTCTGGGTGCTGAGCTGTGCTGGTACATGAGACACGAAGCAGTTCCCACGTGTGCGTGCCAAACAAGGTGTTCAGAGCTCCCAGTGCTGACATTTGGGTGCAGAGCCCAGTGCCCAGCGTGTCCCAGGCAGCCCAGAAAGGGCTTTGCAAACCAGACAACTGGTTTGAAATGCTGACACCAAATACTGGGACCAAACTCAGTATTCTGTGCTCCAGGTCTGAACTGCAGTGCTCCAAAGGCCTGCCAAAGGTCAGGTCTCATCTCACTGAGTTTTCCCTGCTCCCTGCAATGACCCCACAGAGCTTCTCAGACCTTCAGAGCTTTGGAGGAGAGAAGGAGCAGAGTGTGTGCAGCTCCTAAACCTTCCCATGCAGCTGGGAAGAAATTCCCTGTTCCCATGCAACAGGGAATTTTGATGTTAAGTTCGTGAATCAAATCTCTTTCTCTTGTATGCCAGTAATGGCAGTGTTGGAACACAGAGCAGGTCAGAAAAGTATTTTGTAGGTTCAGCTGTTTGTGTTCAGTTCTCTCACATTCTTGGTTGAGTTTGCTGAAGTCTGGGCCAGGGTTTGGGTAGGAAAGCAGACCTCTTTTTCCCTTTACTGTAATTACCAGAATCATGGAATGGTTTGGGTTGGAAGGGGTCTTAAACTTGTCCCATTCCACTGGGATAGGGACACCTTCCACTGTCCCAGGCTACTCCAAGCCCCATCCAGCCTGGCCTTGGACACTGCCAGGGATCCAGGGGCAGCCACAGCTGCTCTGAGCACCCTGTGGTGCCTGCCAGGAAACAATTCCTTCCCAACATCCCATCTAAATTTCCCCTCTGTCAGTCTGAAGCTGTCCTGGCACTCCAGGCCCTTGTAAAAATCCCTCTCCATGCACCCTGTCAGCTCCTTCAGGCACTGGAAGGCCACAATTGGGTCACCCCAAAGCTTCTCCTCTCCAGGCTGAACAATCCCAACTGTCCCTGCCTTTTCGCATGGGAGAGGTGCTCCATCCCTCCGAAGGCTTGACAGAATTCCAGACTAATGTCACCCATAGCCCTTCCCTTGCTGACTGATGGAGTCACTGCACCAGAGAAGGCCGTGGGGAGGATTGTCCCTTGGTGAGGCCGTGCTGGCTGTCCCAAAGCACCTCTGTGTGTCCCAGTGCCTGTCCCAGGCTCCTCCCAGCACAGAGGGCAGGCTGTCAGGGCTGTAGACAGCTGAGATTTCCATGCAGTGTTTTCAGTAAATCAGGAGGTGGTACAGGATGTTCTTCCTGGCATCTCAGCTTGAGCTGGATCAGCTTGGTCTGAGCTGCTATTTGAACAAGTCAGGGACTTTCAAGGCCTGCTGGCTGTGAAAGGAATGGGGCTGTGTTTCTCTGGGATCATTCCTGCACCAGAGCCATCCTTTGCAAGCAGCACTTACCTCAGTGCTCCCAGGGAAGCAGATGTAGCTCCAGAGCTGGCTATGGTTGCCTCCTCCATGTGTGGACCTTTCCTGACAGGATCTACACCCCAAAGTTGGGAAGACTGAGCAACAGAGTGTTTGTGGGTTTTATCCTGGGTTTTCAGGTTTTATTTTCTGTTGGGTAAAAGCCTTGCAAAATTCCTGAGGGGAGGTTCCCAAAGCCAGCACAGCCTTTAACATTATGATAACCAGGAAGATTTTGGAAGCATCCTGGTTTTTCACCCATCTTTATAGGAGGAGCAGCAATATGGAATCAGATAAATGCCCGATTAAAATTTCTGGTGTTTTCCCCAGCTTTATTTCCAGAATAATTTTCATATTTGATGATTTTCTATGTGGTAACGTCAGTGTTGGTCCTTGCAGGGGAGAGCGCTGTGGTCTGAGATTGGATTGAAGAAAGTTTTGGGTGGCAGAGTAAGCCCAGGATGAAGAGGTTTCTGTGAAACACCTGGGAATGTATCATTTCTAATAATAAACGGAGGGTGGGCAGGCCCTGGCACAGGGTGCCAGAGCAGCTGTGGCTGCCCCTGGATCCCTGGCAGTGCCCAAGGCCAGGCTGGACAGGGCGGGAAGCAGCCTGGGACAGTAGAAAGTGTCCCTGCCCATGGCAGGGGTGGGATGAGATCATCTTCAAGGTCCCTTCCTACCCAAATCATTCTGTGATGCTATGATGATTATTTTCTCTTTTTTTCTCACATATTCTGATAATATTACCAGAAAACCTTTAATTTCTTCTAATTTTCCAAGGCTTTTGGAAGGCAGCTTGCCAGTTAGTATTTAGGAAAATTTGTCTTATAAGCAGAATACTTTTTTGTCGTTTCTGAACTCTGGGCTGCGATAGGATGGGACAGAGTCTCAGAGACAACAGTTCCAATGCTGCATGGTGTCTGGCTCTGCTGATAAATTTGCCAAAAAGTTCATTGTGGGTCCCTTGCAACTTGAGATAGCCTATGATTATATGAAAATATTCTGATTTTTCAGCATGTGTTTTCACTTAAATTAGCCAAAAGGAAGTATTAAGAAAAAATGTAAATATTAAGAAAAAATTAAAGCAAATGAGAAGAGTTGATGGGTTGAAAGGTTGATAGATAAAAGATCAGATGCTGAGTGATAGAAGCTTGTGCTTTTGGGAGGCAAAAATCAACTGAGGTGATTCTTTTTTTCTTTTTTTGAGCATATTGGCTGTGGGTTTATGCTGTATTCTGGATTTAAGCTCTGCTTAAGAGTCAGTCAAGCACAGAAGACTCGAAAGATCTGAGAGGTTCTTCCTTCAGAGAAGTGACATGATCTGCAGCAGAATGAATTTCCTGGTTTTACTTTGGTCCTGACCAGAAAGGCTTTTCATTTCATGAGGATGATGACTTCTATTGATTGGCAGGTGGGTAAGAACTTCTTTTCTCCTTAATTCATATCTGTAAAGCTGGTTAACATAGCACTGGTCTGTATGAACATGCAGAATGAACTCCCAAGCCACACATGGGTTTTGAACACTGATCTCAAGCCCCACTCCCCTCCAGAATATTGTTTTAAGGAAAGAAATGTGTGAAAATGTGGGTAAATAAAAGACTTTCTGGAATGTATAAAAAAAGGAGGGAACAGAAATCTAAATGACGGGCCTGGTATGTGCCTTTCTCAGATATCTTTATCTGGGTAAATCCAGGGTTATTTGTATTTTATAGCTGCCATTGAGGCTGTCTGCTTTGCTTTTTTTATTTCAGCCAGCAGCGCTGTTCCTCAGAATTTGTTGCTGTTGTCTTCTTGGACTGTTTAAGCCTCCTCAGCTTAGAAATGCATTATTTAGTCTGGTGGTTTGCAGAGTGACAGTGTTCTCAGGAGGAGAGAGCATTAAGAGAGAGCAGGTATTCATCTTGATATTGCCAGTTGAGTAAAAATGCTTACGAGAACAAAGTGCTGAATCTGAAGGTACATCCTTGGCTGGAATTCATTCCTTTCTTGTGGCTTTCTCAATGTCTTGCTTGTGGCCTTTTTTTTTTTTTTTTTAAATCTGAGATTTACTGTGTTTCTGAAAAGTGTGCAGACAGGATACACAGTTAGCCTGAAATGCCTTGGAACTTAGGAATAGAAGCATCTGGTTTCAGACTGCTTGGTAGAGGAAGAATTATCAGCAAAATAAGAAATACAGTCAGGAAAAATCAAGACAGATAAGAATTACTTTGTTGAATGGATGGTCTGTGATGGAGTGAAATCAGATTTCTCTGTATTAAATAAAAGTAATGCTCTCCAAAAGTACTTCAGAGACAGCTCTGTCTCAAGAATTTCCTCCACTTATATTTTTCACTGTCCTTTTGTTGTTGTTGTTGTTCTTTTGCATTCGCTTTCCCCCTGTGAATGATTTCACTCAACAAGCAGGAAAAAAGTTTATCAAACAGGAGAAAAGCAGTTTTTGCTTGATGTAGTATCACTAGTTCTTGTTTATTTTTAAGACAAAAGTATGAAGTACTTTCCCTCTGGTAAAATTTCAATCTCAGTTTCTGGAGCTCCTTGAAGACACCAAATCCTTATGTTTTTGATGGGGAAGAAGTTGAATTTCTTCATGAAAGTCAGTGACTTTCTCATCTTCCATTTCTTCAGCTCATATCCTTTCTCTCATGCCTTAGCAACAATTTTCCTTGGAGAAATAGGACAAGGTTGTAATGCACACAAGCAGACCTGAGTCACAAACAATCTCTGGTGACCTTAATGTATCAAAATAAACAGATGTGGGGAGGGAAAAGGCAGCTCAGTGACAACAACACCAATGCAAGACATAATGGAAAAATATTTCATTGTCATCAAATTGTGCTGGGCACTGTGGAGGTGAAAGGAAAACCAGCACTGGATTCAGGACAGACAGGGGCACCAGAGATGAGAAGATATCCAGCTGATTACCAGAACGTTTTGTCTTTGGAGAATCCACCTAGGTAGTATTCTTGGGAAAATATTGGTTTTGAGGAGAAAAAAATGCAGATTTATGGCATGTCAGCGTTTTATAATATTTGTTATTTTGTTGTATTTGCTGAATTGTTCATACCAGAAGAATGAGAAACCTGTAAAGCATGATGCTATATTTTAATACTGTGAATTGAGCTACCTTTTGAGCTCATTTGTCACTTAAAATGTTTTTAGCTTTCAGTTTATGAAAGCATGAACCACAAGATTAAAAGGTCAGTATTCAAGTTATCACTGCTGCCAGGAAGTCCAAACCTGAGCTCCTCCTGCACAGGAGCACAACTGCCTGGGCAGCTCAGCAGCAGCCCCTCACCAAGCACACACCTTTTCCTTGCTGGCAATTCTTTGCACAACAGTCACAGATTGGCAAGTCTCTTCCACTGAAGGAACTTAAAAAAAATAAGAAAAAAAGAAAAAGGAGTTGACATTATGGTTATTATGACCTCTGCAAATATTTTTCATTGGCTTTGGGGATTTGTGTTATTTCCCCCACCTGCCCCATGCTTCCTGTTGAAAGATCATCTGGAGAATCCAAGCTAGCCAGGGTGCAATTTGAGATGCCGAGATTCTTTATGGCTTAGGCTACTGCTGTACAAACATCAAAACAAATAATCAAATCCATCCCAACCTTTCAAAGCAGGTGGTGGAACTGCCACTAAATCCCTGAGACAAGGATTTGGGTCAGGGCAGGAGCTAAGCTAGAAGCTGGAGACAATTTTTTCTTGTATGAGAGCAGAGTAAAATCCATGGGATGGGCTACCCTGAAGGTAAAAGCTTGAAGAATTCCCTGAGCTCTTTGAAGCCCTGCAGCTGGCAGGGATTCTGGGGGTGGTTCTGTGCTTAGGGGTCTCTTTCAGCTGATGCCAGCCTTCGCCAGCCCCCAGCCCTGAGGAGAGAGCCTGGAGCAGGGTCAGGGAACAAAGCCCAGCAGCACAGTGCCACCAGGTGACATTTCCTTGGCGTGCTGGAGCGTGCCAGCTGTGCTGGGAGTGCCAGCACTCCTGTGGGGAGCAGCTCAGCCCTGACTCTGGCAGTGCCCAGCAGGATGGGGTAAGAGCAGAGCAAACATTTGGGGGCATTTCCCTGGAAAAGTGCCCCTGTGACTGTTTGTGCCCCTGGGATTTTCCTGGGACATTGCCCACTCTACTTGTCCATTTATTTTGTCCAGTCCCCTTCTCCTGCCTGCTTCTGTGGCTCAGCCTCACATTGTGTGAGGAACCCACCTGGGTTTGATTTTTCTGAGCCTGTTATTTGCGGCTTTGCTGGATGCCACCTGCTTCTAGCATTGGAAGGTGCAGTAAAAAAAAAAATCTAAAGCAAAATGAAAACACCCCAACCTATTCCCCCTTTCCATTCCCATTCCTTTCATAACAGTACAGGTCTTGGTTGTCTGTCCCTCAGACATCTCTCACATCTTTCCCATCCCTCTCTCACCTTTCTGATTTTTTAGCCATTGTTTGCACAGAAGCTGTTGCAGAATGTGATGATCTTTTCAGTCTCCAGGTAAAAAAACCTGAAAGTTTTGGTTCCCAGTCAGTTTCATCTGTCTCTCCTTTTCCATGAAGGACTTCTGTGTAAGATTCCAGAGATTCCAGCTGGGACTTCTGCAGGTCCTGTCCATTGTTTATTTGGGAATTAAGTTCTCATTACTTTTTAAAACGCGTTATTTTAAGCTTCACTGGATAGTATATTGAGCATATATCAAATATGTCCAGCATCTTCTTTCTCTTTTAATGTTTATGACAGGAATTTACGGAGACTATTCCATGGATTCATGACACTGGAAATAGAGTTAAGGCATGTCTTTCTTGCTGTCTCCTTTACACTACTTTAGAATGAATCACCCTGTGCCACAATAGCATATGACAGCTGTAAAGAATCACAGATCTTGCTCTGAGCCAGAATTTTTTTTGGGAAAAAAATCCCCAAGACAGCACAATGTTATTTCAAGAGTTTCCTTTGCTGGCCTTTCTTTTCTGTACCCCTATAGACTTAGAAATACCCACAGTGGTTTATGATTTATCTGTATGTCTGCCCTGGCTCTGCACATTTTGTCCTGGGCAAGGCTTATTTAAAATGGAGGTATGTGGGGCTATAAACCAAAGAATTAATCTTAGGTGTGTGATTGTCACTTAATCTCAGTGGAAGTTGTTTCTGAAGCCAAAGGTAAAACACCAGACAGCCTCATTTCTCCTGCACTCAGCCCAGCAGAGGGAATGCAGAGCCTGATGTTGCCCAAAAAGGATAAAAAGTGGCAGAAGAGAGTCTGGAAGAACTGGATTATCAAGGTCACACAACAGTGAGATTTCTGCTGCTTTTTAAAGGCTCTCAGGTATAAACTGTGAACTGTGTTGCTGTTACACACTGCAACCCACCCAAAACAATGAGATATAAGGTACACAAATAGCACAGACTCATTCTAAGGGTTAATTCTCTTGGCTTTTTGCCTTCCATGCCTGAAAGCCTCTCTTGACATTTGGAAATGGTTGTAAATTCCCCAAATGTGATTCTGGTCCCAAAGAGCCAATTCTTCAGCCTTTGTTTATGGTGTTTTACAAGTTTCAGAAATTTAATCCCTCTTGAGGGATGGGATGGAAAGAGGAAATAATTAGAGATTCTTATGGGTTAGAGAGTTGGAGAATTTTAAGGTCTTCAAGCATTGCTGGCTGGAAACGAATATTGCCCAACATTTGCAACTCTGTTAGATCCACTTAGTATAAATTAGTAATTTGGTCAGAGAATATGTCAAAACACAGAGGAAATTGCTGCTGAATTACAAAAGAGGGGAAATTGCTGGTGCCCTCCAACAGCACACATTCAGTTTGGGGTTGTGGTGGACACTTTTGGTCAGCTCTGCCCAAGTCACCAGCAGTTAAATTTTCATATTTGAAAACAAATTTCTCAATTTTTTTTGAGAAAGAAAAAGAGCTATTGCAAGAGTTGTGCTTCCAGGTTGTACCTTTGAAAAGCACCAAGACCCTCAGTAAATAGTCACCATCCCTGGAAGGTGTTGTTCAGTCTTTGAAGCTAACTTTCTTCCAGACGATCAACCAAAATCCACATCTGCTCCAACTGGTTGTGTTGAGTACCTGAAAATATCCAATATCACCCACAGTAAAAGTGTGTGCAGCTCCTGGGGACCAGGATGGGAAACTCTTCTTGTTTATGTCTGTGTTTGTTTGAGTGTTTGCTCTTAATCAGCACTTGAAAGAAGAGATTGATTTACAAAATATAATTTCAGATGTGGTAATTAAACAAACAAAAAGCTGAAATAAGGATAAACAAAAGCAGTGGCTCCTTTAAGGTACCAGTAGGATGAACAGGAAAATGAAAGAATACGATTATGAGTTACAGGGAAGTGTTTTTAGGATTAGCAAATATCTAAGAGGCACTTCATTAGAGCTAAAATCTGTTGATCTGTTTCTCTGGGATCACTGTACAAAGAATGAACAGCAATGTTCATGAGTTAAACTTAATTTCATTACCTTGGAGTATTTCTTGCCATAGTGGTAAGATGCATGCCCCAAATAGAAGTTACCTTCAGATGGGATGAGATCTACATCTGTTCTTGGAAGTTAAGTGATCCTGTGTCTTTTCAGGAGATAGTTGAAACCCTGTGAAATAGTTTAAGAATTTCCTGGAAAGGAAAAAAGAGTCTTCAGTGAAATTTAAATTTCTTCATGACATCAATCTGCCAAGAGATATCTGGGAAATACTCATCAGTATTTTTTAAAATACTAAAATCTGGAAAGATCACAAGGATGTTTTACAACTTTTTATCAGTGATTTGTTCATGAAAATCAAGAAAGATATTTGAACTAGCAACAAATACTGAGTAATACTGATAGAGTGTATTTGCTCTTGGAAGTATAATCCTGTTTACTCACCCCTGTGCTGAGCCCTACAGCCTGTACAAAGTGGCACTGGATGGTTTCTCTTTCAATATACATTTCCAGGCCAAGATTAGAAAAAATCTTTGCTGTCGTCTGTTTGCATAAATCCGTAGTTCTTTTAAAGTATCCTTTGCTGGGTCAGATTAAATTGGTGTTTCAGGAGAGGAAGGCAAAGTCAGCTCATCCTCTGCACTGCCCTGAGCAGGGTGTGATCTCCTGGAATGTCCCTGCAAGGACTGAGCACACTGATGTCCATCTTAGAGACCCACTTCTGTCACACTGCCTCCAGTGAGCTGCAGTAGCTCACACCCTGCTTCTGCTCTCCTTCCCCTCACCCATATCTCATTCCCTGCTGCTTTCACATTTTGGAGCATCTTGAAACGGGGACTGTCCTTGAGGCTTCTGGAAGGAAAGTGGGACAGAGGGTGAGCATGGGAATCAAAGGAAAGGATTTGGGTTTGACTGGTTCCCAAACAGGTGTCAAAGATTCAGCAATGGCAGGAGCCCACTCAGAGCAGTAAATATACTTCAATTGAACTCTTCTACTCAGCAGGTTTAAGAATATTCTATAGTGAAATCAATAGTTCATAAAAGAGACAAACCTGAGCTGAGGCAACCACTAAATTATTATTACAGTCTTTTTCTGCTAAATTCACTTGCATAGTTTGGTTGTATTTTGTAAGGTCTGGGAGTGCACTGAGTTTTTTCCATCTGGATATAAGGAAAAATCTTTTTCCCAATCATATCTTTAATCAGTGGAACAGGTTGCTAAGAAGGATAGTGTGAACTGAACCTCATGCGTGACCCTGCCATGAGCAGGAGGCTGGAGCTGAAACCTTCTGAAGTCCTTTCTGAGCTAAATAATCCTGTGCTACTATGACTCCTCTTGAGCTTATCCACTGAGAGGGTTTTTTTCCTCCCTCTGATTATACAGGGATAAAATATACAACCTTCACTCCCCCCACCCCAGGTTTGTCAAAATGTGTTATTGCGGTCGTGTGTGTTCTGGTTACCAAACTGACACACTGCAACACACATTTCAGTGTGCTCCACATCAGGAGAGGCATTTAGGATTAAATCATTGCTGTGAAGTGTTTGAGAACAGAAAGAACAGGGCTGGAGGGGCTCACCTGTCCCTGCAAGGTTCCTCTCGTGCCAGTTTACCCATCTGTCCTTTGCCAGCACTGTGCTTGGCCTTCTTTCACCTCCCCTCTGTGTACATTGAGCACAGCTGCAGTTGTTAACAGCTGGCATTTTTGCTGGGCTAAACAAGAAATTCTTTTAGCCTGTTTTTATCTCTTCTTAGGGGAGAGCCTCTAATCACCCTCCTGCCTGCTCTGGTTCTGGTGCTCACTGAGATCTGGGGCACAGCTTTGCAGCTGTGTCATTTCCAGGTGCCTCTCCTAGAATTTCACACCAGTTCCTGTAGTTAGGCAATAAATGCCTGGCTTCACATTTTGCATCATTCTCTCTCTTTCTCCCTCTTTTCTCTTACATATTTTACAGGTTTGCCTCATGTCCCTATTACTGGGTGTAGTGGCACTAGGCACTCACCAAAATCTGTCTCTCAGTTCCCTCCACAGCTGGACATGGGAGGAAAAATGTAAGGAAGGGTTCATGGGTTGACATAAAGGCTGTGAGAGCTCACCCATCAAATATCATCAAGGCCAAAACAGGCTGGAATTAGAGGTATTAATTGAATTTATTACTTACAAAATCAGAGCAGGATCATGAGAAGTAAAATAAACCCTTAAAGATACTTTCTCCCCATCCCTCCCTCCTTCCCAGCTCCGCCTCCTCCCACAGCAGAGCAGGGAGATGGGAATGGGAGTTCTGGGCAGTTCATCCCCAAAGGCTGCTCCTGCTGCACCCTGGGGTCCCCCCCACAGCAGAGTTCTCCAGGACCTTGTCCAACACAAGTGCATCCCACGGGCAGAGCTCTGCTCCCACTGCTGCAGTCACTCTGCCGTGGGCTCAGTCCTTCAAGGACAGGTTGCTCCAGCAGGGCCCCTCTGGCCACGGTCTCCACGGGGTCACAGCCTCTCCTCAGGCATCCCCCAGCTCCAGTGGGGGCTGCTCTGGAGGGTCTCTGCATCCTCATGGATCTCAGGGGCTGTGGGGGGATCTCTGCATCCTCATGGATCCCCAAGGGCTGTGGGTGGATCTCTGCATCCCTGTGGATCCCCATGGGCTGCAGAGGCACAGCTGCCTCACCATGGTCTCACCACAGGCTGTAGAGGAATGTTGGGCCCAGTGCCTGGAGCACCTCCTGCTCCTCCTCCTGCCTTGGGTGTCTGCAGAGCTGTTCTTCTCACATGTTCTCCCCCTGCTCTCCTCTGCCTGCAATTACATCTGTGCAGCAATTTTTTCCCCCTTTTTCCTTCAGTCTGTTATCCCAGAGGCAGCTCCACCATTCCTAAGTGGCCCAGCCTTGGCCAGCCACACATCCACTTTTGGAGTTCCAGGGACTGGCTCTGCTGAACATGGAAAAAGCTTCTGGCACGACCCCTGTGACCTCCTGGCACCAAACCATGCAAACCCACACCAGGTTATGTTTTGCTCCTGGGCTGGTGGGGTGTGCCAGGATTCCTCTGCCACCCCAGCCCTGTGTCCCTGCTCTGCTGCCTCCAGGGTTTCCATTGCCCTTTTCCCACAGAACTTGTTTGTGGAGTTTGCAGGGGTCCCCAGGACGAGGTGAGACATGAGTGAATCTCACTCCATGTTCTTAGCGGCTGATACATGACATGACCATGACATGACATGACCATGACATGACATGACATATGGACAGAAGGCTTAACAGGAATTATGATAAAACTTGTGACTCCTCAGAGCCTTGACACAGCTGGATGGTTATTGGCCATTAAATAAAACCAATTCACATGAAACCAATCAAACAATGAGCAGTTGGATAAACAATCTCCAGACCATATTCCAAAGCAGCAAAACACAGGAGAAGCAAATCAGATAATTATTGTTTATGTTTTTCTCTGAGGCTTCTCAGGAGAAGAAATCTTGGGCAAAGGGATTTTTCAGAAAATATGACAGTGACACGTGTTCAAGAGCCTGGAGTGTCATTAGGATAAAACTCCTGTGGCTGCTGTTGTTTTGGGTCCCCTTTTGCTCTGCCTCTGAAGTCTGAGTGTGATTTTGTCTCCTCTTTGGTCAGTGCTCACCTCCAGGTGACAGAGGCCTCTCCTACTTCACTTGCAGTTCCTCCCTCAGTGCTCTCCTACATTCCAGGATGGGCTCTCAGGTCCTTGCAGTGTAACCACACTGAATCCTGTGATCTCTGGGGGTTTTTTGGCAGTGGCAGCCTCCTTTTCAGTACTTTGCTCCTATTAGACAATACAATTTTGCCTTAGAATATTCACTTTTCCTCTGGTTGAAAGCCAAAGGAAAATGTTAATTCAAAAATAAATTTTAAAAATTAAACCCATTCTTGTAGCATCTTAATGTCTTGTCCTTGTTTACTTTCTATTTATAGGACTGAAAGCACTTGACACTATGTAGAAAATATTTGATTTAGGGCCATTTTCCAATTATTCTTACAGTTTTATCTCTAAAATGTAGCTTTCTCATAGTGCTTATTTTCCCTCTAGAGTGTAGCTATTATCTCTTTAGGGCTGATTATCACCCACTTAGGGCTAGAAGCTTCCTGAAGAAGTTCTTCCCACTTCTTTATAGAAAGGTTTTAGAGGATTTTGAATTTCTGAGTTCATTTATATCCTGAGGTTTTAAGTTCATTTTGGATATTAGTTCTCCTAATTTTTCAGGAGTTTTGTTGCTTTGGGGTTTGTTTGTTTAGGGTTGTTTTGTTGTTGCTTTGGTTTTTTGTTTGTTTTGTTTTGATTGAAAATCTTTGTTTATAGTCTGTTTTTAATTATTTTTTTAAGCTGGAAGTGGAACTGCCTCATGACCTTATTAGCTATTTTCCATGTTGTGTGATAAGATTAATAATAAAAAAATTTAACTTATTGGCTTAATGTATATTTCACTGTGTGCATGTACTGAGTGTAATGTTTTGGTGGGTTTATATATATACACACACACACACACATATATATTTACATATTTTAACATATTTACATAGATATACATATATATGCATATATATGTAAATAGATATGCATGTATGTATCTACATACTCTATATACACATATATATTTCTCAGTGTGTGTGTGTAAATATATATATATATATATACACACTGTGAAATGCCTATTTTGTTGTCTAAACCTGGGGGGCCCTACCAGCAACCCAGGAAATAACCAGACACTGCTGCTGTCACAGACTTTATTCTCTTTTTCCAGGATAAACCAGGAAAGCTTCTGCCTTGTCCTGCAGTGCCAGAGCCTGGTGCCAGCGTGGCTCTGTCTGTTCACACATTTGTGATTTCACAGGTAATTATGTACTGAGAGACAAGGGCTGGGGAAGGGGCTGAGGGAGCTGGGAAGGGGCTGAGCCTGGAGCCAAGGTAGCCTCAGTGATTCTGGGATTCTGAAATGTTACAGCTCAGCACCTCCTGTATTTCTGCTCTTTCCCCCTGTCCTTGCATCCTCATCACAATATCCATTGTTTTCCTGCTATCTCTTTCCACAGCCTATCCATTGTTTTAGTTCTCTGTTCTGTTCTTGCAATGCACTGTGTTGCTTTACAAAAATTATATATTTCTCCAGCCTTTTCCAATGCACTAAAGAACTCAAATCTAGCCCCCAGAGTAATTTCATCATCCATCCCCCTTTTACTTTGGTATCTATGAATGATTTCTCTCTCTTTTCCCTCAACCTTTTGTGTACATATTCTGCATATTCTTGTATCATGTGAGTTTTTTCTTCCTTTAAAAATATTTTTTTTTAAATCACCCACATAATTTATAGATTATTTCCCTGCTTTTCCACTCTGCCTGCTTGGATTCCAGAGGGATGAGAGACTGGTTGTTGTTCAGAACCTGCTAGCCAGCGTCCTCTTCCCTTCCTGCACATCTGGGAGGGTTCCAGCAGGAACATCTCAGAGCTGTCTGTTGATCTGTGATAGCTTGAAGCCAGCTTGTCTCTCTCAAGGGACTGCAGCAGTTCCACTGAAAGTCATCTGAATCCTTTTTCAGCCCATAAGATCATGTTTGCCCTTCAGTTTTCCTTGGTCAAAAGGTGTTTTTCATTCTTGAAGTGTTTGCTGTCTTCCACGCTCTTTTATAGCCGCTGTGTTTTGCCTTGAGCTGCATGTGAACTCCTCTGATCCTTTCTTCTGAGAGCCCTGTCAGGCAGCATCTCACACAGGAATATGTGTGCACCTGCCTTCCCTCTCAGGAAAGCACTGCTTGGTGGGACAGCCTTCATAAAGCTATGTAATATTAGTCTGTGTGTTTATGTGAAGGAGTTTTATCTACATTTCTCCATATTGCCCAGTGAAATCTGAGACCATCAAAGCAATGAAAGGGCATCAAACACTCAAAAAAGTAACAACTGCCTCTGGTAACGGTTTTCAGCTGTTTGTAAGTGTTGATGTTTTTTTACAACTAAGTCCTAAAGCAGGATTTCACATGAGAGGTGTTTCTGTCCACTCTGACTTACTTTGTTAGCTTATGCCACATCAGATATGATTCAGCAAAATGTTTAATATTCTACCCTTAAATGTTCTGCATGTGCTCAAATTCTTTGTGGCACTGAGTCCCTGAGGGAGAGCTTCTGCTCTTAGCCCAGGCTCAAAGCTTACTCTTGTGGAGAATATTTTCACTCTGCAGGACATTGTGGCTTCCCAACAAGGAGCAGGAACGAGGCTGGGATATTCAGGCCACTATGCAAAACCCCTTTTATGGCTCCCCTTTACCTCAGGCTCAGCATCAAGTACCAGAAACCTGACATCTTGGCACACACTGAATTTTCAAGGATCTGAAGAACAACAGCAGTGTCTCTCTGGCACTTTGTAAGTGTTTGTTCTCATCTTTGTTCCCATAAGATGAAGAAGAGGACCTGTTCCCCCAGGTTCCAGTGGGATTGCTGTGCACCCAGAAGGTTTGAGGAGGGAAGTGAAAGTGATCAGAGGTCAGGGCAGTTTCCAGACAAGGGGCCAGCCACAGCAGGACTCTGCAGTACTGGAAGGTGGCTCTCCCTGTCCACATCTTCTCCACTTCTTCCCAGGTTTCCATCTTCAAGTGTTCAAAGTGTGGACTGAAATTCGAGTCTGTGGAGCTGCAGCCAACATGGAAGACCCAAAAGATTTCACATTTAGGGGAAAAGAATCCAAATGAAGAGGGACTCAAAGAACTAATTTGGGTACCAGGAAAGCTTCAGTGGTGTGATGGCCTCTGATGATGACAGGTGAGGTGCTTTCCTCTTTGACCCTGTGTGTCTTCAGCCAGGGGCACCTGTGGCTTGCTAAGCATTTGCTAAGGGATGTGGAATCAACTATAACTTACCTACTATTTGGGTTGGGAACTGGTAATTCTTGGTATGATCTGCAGTTTCTGTGTGAGCTTGTTGTGTAGTGTGCTGCTACTTCACAAGAAATTTATGACAAACATGATCAAAAGTGAAACAAAAGTCTTTCTGCCCTGCCTGACCCATGAGGGACAGTAGCCAGGCTCACTGCTTTAACCTCTTCACAATTCTGTATTTTATTTTGTTGGCAGTTTCATCACTTTTTCATCAGTTTTGAGAATATAAAAGGAAGAATAAGAAGGACCATTCAGTAAAATTATAGAACATTGAAAACATCAAAGGAATATTGTTTACTGTTATCTTTGAGAGAAAATACAGGGCTGTAAAACTGCAATGCCTCTTTGTTGTGACAAAGGCTGTAAGAAGGACAGGAAGGCTGGCATAAATCCAGCCTTTTGACAAGGACTACAGGAGTGGCAAACAGAACAATTGAATCCACTGTTGTGCCAGCTTTTTGATTGTAATCAGCTGTTAACCCCCATAAGCTTTTAGATTACTTTTAGTTTCCTTCAAGTGGCAAAACAGTTGTTTTGTGACTCTTTTGAGGCAAGCCACAAGTGAGAAAATGCAATGTTTTATTTACTTCACTCCAGTCAAGGGTCCAATGAATTCATTAAGTTGAGACTGCAGGATGCCTGAACATGTCCAGGTCAGTTATTTGCTCTTAGCTCACAGAAGGATCGTTTCCCATCCCTCATCTCCTCTACCAACTGAAGCTGTGTGATTATTTCAAGAGCCATCAAGCTTGGGCTATCCATTTTTATGGCCTCACCAAGAGCCATTCCTGGATCCTTCACAGGCCATGCCAGCAGAGCCTTTGGTTATTGCTAGGGATGAGCATTATGCTGCAGAATTTGAAATGAAAGCCCAGCTGGGAGGGTGTTTGTGGAAGTGCTGCTTTCTGTTCCCTGCCCAAGGAAACTGATATTGATGAGTGTGGAGAATATGGGCAGATTTGCTCTGACATAGTGAGGCTGCTCTGAAGTGTGGATATTATCCTCCTTTCTCCATTTGACTGAGATGTTTTAAGTGTGATTTCTTCAGGAGCTGTTTGGATTTCTGCTGTTTCTGAGGAATGCAAACAGGCACCTCAGAAGGGCCATGGCAGGTGTCTGGCAATCAGTCCCTGTGATTGCACAGGAATCCTAACAAGGAGGTGCTTACCTTTTCAGTTGCTAGATTTAGATGAGATGAGCACTGATACAAAAGGAGTGATTCATGTCCTCCTTCCTGTGTTTGTAGGGACTTGAGCAGCCCAGTCTAGAGGAAGGTGTCCCATGGCAGGGGGTGGAGTGGGATGGGTGTTAAGGTTCCTTCCAGCCCAAACCAGGCTGGGATTCTGGGATGAGTCCAGCTTGCTGTAAATTCCAAATTCCACTTGGATGAAATAAATTTTGTCTGATACTTATAAGAATGAATTTGAGGACTCCTCTTAGTTAATCATAGAATCACAGAAAGGTTTGGGTGGGAAGGGATGCTAAAGCTCATCCCATTCCTCCCCCTGTCATGGGCAAGAACCTCTTCCACTGTTCAGGCTGCTCCAAGCCCCATCCAGCCTGGCCTTGGGCACTGCCAGGGATCCAGGGGCAGCCACAGCTGCTCTGGGCACCCTGTGCCAGGGCCTGCCCACCCTGCCAGAGAATAATTCCTAATTCCCAATATCCCATCCATCCCTGTCCTCTGGCAGTGGGAAGCCATTCCCCCTTGTCCCATCACTGCAGTTCTGATGAGAAGTCCTTCTCTGTCTCCCCTGGAGGTGCCGGGGGACACTGAAATCTCATGGACTGTAATTAGAAATACAGCTTGTTATTGTAATGCTTCATCTGTGAATCCTCAGCTCTATAAAATTTTGGGTTGACATGTAACAAGTCTGTAGAGTTTCTTATTCAGTGGTGGAAGGAGCCAGAACTCTGAATCTTGTGTGAAGAATTGTTTTAAAAATACCAAAGTAAGTAATGGCTTTTATTTCAGGGATTTTCAGAACCCAGATAAAGTAGCTATCAGATACAGACTGCAGGGTTTAGGAATGAGGTAATCACCTCTCTCCTGAACTTTCTGAATTGGTGTATCTAATATATTATCTTGCATATTAAATTTAATTTTTTCAACTAGAATTTTTGAATTAAGAGTAGTTTTTCCCCTGCTGCTTTGTTTTCCTAATCTTCTTCTAATTCTCATTTGGTCTGAAAAGATATTTACATATCTAAAATGATGTTATTCATAAAACCAATCAAGCTTTTAATTAAGATCTAAGATAAAGCTGGTTTAGAAGGGGTAGTGAAATATTCTGAAATTCTGAAATATTCTGAATTTTTATCCAAATCTTGTCTTTCAGATTTTTATAAACAGTAAATATTATGCATTTGATCAATATATAAAGATATTAGAAAACTGAAAAATCTTTTAAAATAACCATAAGTATCTTTAGTATAATTCAGTTATTTGCCTTAGAAGTGAAAATCTAATAGCTGACAATATAATAAAAAGACTATACCATCTGTTAGCTGTATATAATTATATTAAAAACATCAGTCTGTACTTGATTCAACAATTTTCAAGAGCTTGTTAACCTTTCAAATTAGATTTGTACTATCAATTATACTTAACCAGGAACTTTTTATCCATGCTTTTATATTTCCTTAATTAGTTCCATAAGTCATTTCAGGCATCTTTCTAATAATGTCACACAGTTATAGAGCCACAGCAGGACTTTCAGGGATGTCTGATTCCATCTTTTCCTTTTCCTTTCCCCACTACCACACTGTAACTGAGTGATGATGAATGCTCCCACCTCCAGTTCCACTCTCACTTGAAATATTCCTATGAAATTGATCAAGGGCCAGACTTTGTGTCTGAGAGCAGTGGTGTGAATGGGCTCTGCAGGTCCCAGCCTCAGCCTCTCATCCTGAGAGAATGGGCTGCAAGTATTCCATAATTATCTCTTGGATTATCCCTGCCGCCTTTCAGAGAGGTGTGAGAAAGTCTTTTTTGC